AGACAAAATGTGATGCGATGATTTCTTATTGTGAACAGCGGTGTCGGTGTCAAGTGGGGACCACCCACATGTGTGTGAGGAGATAACGTCATGTGAGCAAATAACGTGTGAGGAGATAGCAATCAGTTTATTTCAATCCACTCACATGTTTGCTGCTCACCCGAGAGGCCCTCATCCGTTTATTTCAATCCTCTATAAATAGAATAGTAGGGGTTCCTAGGTTTTGCTGCTAGGTGGGGAAATTTCTTTTAGCCGGCTGCAGTCAAGCAACGGGAACAGCGGTTTTTTGGAAGAAAATTGCGGCTAAAGGACTGGGTCCTTTTTCGGCAGCAAGGGAAAAAGCAACAGGAGCAAGCAGCGGGCAGAGGCTTTCTTTTGGCGGCTGTGCAGAGGAAGAAAAAGAGAGAGAGATCTTGAGAGGAGAGAAAAAGAGAGATTCTACAAAAGAGAGGTTTATTTCTTTTGGGTAAAAATCAGATCTTTGAGACGAGCTTGTGGATTGTACAAGTCGTCGGTGTTCTCCTTATAGTGGAATCTCCCCTCACCCCTCCCGTGGACGTAGGCAAGTTTGCCGAACCACGTAAATCTCGTGTATTTACTGTTTTCTGGGTTGTTGGCTATTGCTTGTAGGATCCCTCAAAATTCGGTCTTGCGCTGATGAGAGGAAGAGTGGATATCTCACTTCGCTGAGATATTTCGCTACTGAGTCTGGGTTTCCTTCGCGAAACACAGATATCGAGGTTGACTTGTGCTTTTGTGACAACATAAGCCAGGGCTTTCTCTCAGGACATATCGCTTCCGCGGCGGTGGGCGTGACTCTGCGCCCAACACTTAGGGTATCATATAGATTTTCAGAAAATGGTCTTTTGAGTTTTGCACCAGGAAGTATTCCCAATGTTTCAAGAACTTGGATATTTTTGCGTGAAGAAATTCATAACAAAAATGTTTTAACACTGTTGGTAATGAAGTCTATCCTTTTGAACGAGATATGCACGCTCAACATTTGTTTTATCGGTCATAAATTATCAATAGCAAAAGTTTTAATTGAGTTCCTTCTTCAACCTGTCAACTGTAGATATATCGCATTCAAAGATGAACAAGTCAATCCACATTAAGTACCGTTATATCTTCTTGAAACCGTCTGATGTAGTAAATAAACTGAAGGTGTTTATGTGTAGTCATTCTCATACCTGAATGAGTCGAACTTCTGTACCGCTCATCTTGAGCTTGATTAGGTTCACGTAAGTTCTTCAGTCTATACAAGATCTCTTTGTTGTTGACATCAAAAAAACTTTTGGTTGCTCCATATAAATTTTCTGCTCCAAGTCACTATTAACACTCATCTTAAGCTGACATATTATTCATTTATTGGGAACAAATGTCATGTTGTACAAGATCTGCTATATTTCAAAGACACCACTGACAACCATTTATCATTATGGGGACTAGACTAACTTCTTTATGAAGAGAAATTTGCAAGTATCTCTAGATCCATGATCCATGTTTAATTATATTAGCACCGTGCATCACTCCTTATGCATCCGTCGCTAGCTGGACATCCAGATTTTGATCATTGAGTGGTGGATCTTTGCTCTTGCCCCATGCAACCATATAAAGTCCAAGTACTATGAGAAGGGAGCCTATCACTCTGCCACATAACCACAGAACATCGGCTAATGAATCACATTTACATGGAACTAAAAGATAACCAACGAGAAGGAAAGGAAGCACTAACCCTCCTAGGAATAGGTCTTCTCTTAAGAAAACCAACCCTGCTGCGGCTACAAGGATCATGCTTAGCGGGCTAAAAGCTGTGACGAAAACTGGCCCTTTTTCCTTCATCACTGATCCTTGCAATGTGTATGCCATACCTGAGCAAACAACAGCCTGCAATGCAAATAACAATATTCTTAGGACCTCCCTTTCATATATGATTTTAATAGTGTCACGTATTACGATGGAAGTGTGGAGTTTTTATAGACAGAGGATTCGGAGTATGGTACAGTCCATATCCAAATTGAATCCAAAAACAGACCAAATATTGGTAATTCTTTCCCCCATCAGAACATATAAATGTCTTCAACTGATGAGAGATTATAAGATCTCAAAGTAGCTACTTAGAAGCTATCTTCCATAATTGGACTCTCATTTTTATAACTTCATACTTGCAATGTAGTTTAACCTAAAACAACATCTTAGACTCTTTAAGCTTTTGGAATGAACAGAGAAGTGGATGGTGGGAATTATCGACCGCTCTCGTTCAAAACAGAAAGAACATAATAGTAAAGGTTCACTTGCCACTTGATGTTAGATTGAATAAGGATCCTATATTTACCGAAAAGACGATGGCTAGGAGCTTTGAGTTCCAACCAATAGACCAGGCAGCCGAGTGTCCGCGCTCCATAATCAGGGCTGCCACTGTACCTTCAGCTGCTCCCATGATGCAAATCAAGGCCGAAAGGGTAAGCTCCAAAGGGTATTCCCTTAAAGTGAGAGTCTACACTTAAGCATAGTTTCTCTTTTAGTTCTATATAAGTAATCATCATAGCCTCATATGTTGAATCTCTGACGATAAACATTTATTACCTACTTGTAGTATTATGAAACCAGACCAGCAGCAGCAAGCAATGATGAGAAAGATTGAGCCCTTCACCATATCTTTGTCACTAGAGTTAGCAATTGATCCATAATCGTTGCCTAGTCTTGGTGACCCCTTCCCTATGATTGGACCCTTGTAGAGAGTCATCACCATGGCACCTGAAATGGAAACGATAGTTCCCACCACCTTGGCTACACTTCTGATCTCTTTCAAATCAACTACTTCTAGCCTTCAGAAAAAGAAAAAAAAAAGAACTACTTTGTTAGAGAAACCATGAGGGCGCCTTCTCGATTGTGAGTTTCAAGCTTCAAATTACCGTAGGATCCAGGCAAATATGAATGTTATAGCTGGAATGACGTTGCCCATTGTGGCAGTGAAGGTAGCTGATGACATCCTCATTCCTAGATAGTAGATATTCTGATCTAACACGGGCCTGCAGTAAAAGTATGAAGACTTACGAGCACCATACGCAAACAAATAGTGAAAAAAAATCGAGGAAGAATTTTGAGTATCACTCTAGTAAGCCCAATGCTATGATCTTAACGAAAATTGAGAGTGTGATCGGAGGAGTGGAATTCCTGTCAAGGTACGCAATAGGTAGGAAGTTAATAAGAATTACTTTGCTGGCAAGTAGTACGTAATTGAGGCAGTCAAGTTGTTTCCATAATGTGATAGGTTGAAGATGCTACCACGTTGAAGTATTTATCTTTAGTCAGTAAAATACAAAATAAAAGCAAGTCTAAATGTTGCCGGAGCATAAAGTGTGTCAGATCATGAACGGACCTTTCAAACACAAGCGCGAAGGGTGCAATAACAGCAGTAGCTAGGGCATGGCGATATACAACAAAGGTGAAAGTGCTCATTCCCTCGTTTAGCGCGAACTTGGCAATTATGGTCAATAGAGCAAACCCAAACTGCAGGAAGACTGTAAGCACGTAAGGCTTTAACCCTCTCCAGAGCTCGAGAGAATAATCTCTCAGTTTATTCTCCATTGAGCTTTTCTTCCTCACATTATTGCTTCGATACAATCTAAGAATTAGATTCCGAGCTACATATATTTATCCGTATACATTTCAGTTTCGTAACACGACTTCTTCATCGATGTCAAGCATATACCGATGTTGAGTCCACACTGGATTCCATTACAGAAGAGATCAGAAGGTGTCATATAAAAGCACGATCGATGTAGGCACAGGTGACTAAACTTGCCCGTTTACTAATTGTGGAATCTTTCTTGTCTGGTTTTATTCAAGTCGTTAGCGTGCTGCGCGAGGCAAATTACAAGAGACATTATAATCACCATTTCCTGTCTTGTCTTCTTCTTATTTTTCCTTTTGAGGACTTCTATAACTTTGAAAATGAATTGAGAAACTCGGAACACTAAATTAATCTCGAGTGCTGGCCAGCGATAAAACCTACAAATGAATCTGTAGAAGATGAATTTCTAACAGACACAGACCAAGTAGCGAAGGTGCTTCATTACTTAACAAGCTAGTGGGGACCATTGTTTCATTAAATATTAGAAATGGAAAATAAATCGTATAACTTAAAAATGATTTACACGTCAAAGTTTTTAAATCTAGTAATTGTTTTCCTTTTTGTACACGGTTCCTGCAGTAATATCTAAACATGTTCACCTTTTAGAGTTTAAAATTTACGTGGCATTAATACCTAAGTTCATACCTCCAGAAGCTAGTATTTTAATGCTCTTAGCCTCTGTCTCCAATACGCCCAAGGTGGATCGCATTAATAGATATCTTCATAATTACCTGAAATAGTTCTATAACATTTCTATTATCTTTCTAGAAAAGAAATTCACTCCATATTTTATTGCCATCAATAACTTCTGTCATCTTTTTGACATAATACTCACGTCACTGATGGTTCCCAATTTTTCTTGCTGATATATTGTTTGAACAAGCCTAATTGTGGAAATATTTAAAGAAATAGCGTGTTCGGATGAATATCTCCCTACAGGAAGATGCTAGGAGTTATATTATTATACATTTAAAAGGAAAAGGAAAAAACAAATAGTCGTAATAATATTCATAATTTTGATACCGTATTGGATCAACAAGGTTACTTGTATCCGTAATCAAATTTGTAAGATCATATATGGGAACTGTGTGAGGCGTTGTAAACAGAAATTTGTAGAAATTGTAAGCTACCTAAAATGTGCCATTGATACAATTATGAAGTGATTAAAGCTATTAAGACATGTAGCTAACTTGAAAAGATCGCATTTCTACAAGGAAAGCAGGCAGGATGATCTGGGATTTGCTAATAAAAGCACGATATTTATAGTGGGTAGCTACAAATTCATGCATTTTAGGATTATACAACAAGGTATGATGATTCCTTTATCCTTGTTCTCTTGGTTTAATTAGTTCTTTCTTTTAACTCTCAATTTGAACATCTTTTTTATGGTATGTCCATTTCATGGGATTCTCGCTCACCAGTCACCAAATTTCTTGTTGTACGACATTAAGATGTTAATACATGTAAACCATTGGTCCACTTTAACAATGCAGGTAGGATATCCAATTGCAAACGTCATACGTACAAAAATAGGATCTTTATGTAGTTTGTGTAATTGTCGTTAAGTGATAAAAAAGGATGTGTCTTTCCAGTATGGGTTCATGTTGATTGAATGTTATGATTGCTGACACTTTTATGTTATCCCCTTTTGTTATTGAGAGAGAGAGAGAGAGAGAGAGAGGTGAGTTCAGGTTTGATCTCAAAGTCATTTCATGATAATTTGGGCAATCAAGTTGCATGCTAGTGGAGATAATGGTCATTAATGAGGGTTCTCAAAAGAGAACATATTATTGATCCTGACTTTTATTATATGTTGGTATATATCATCATCATGATTGAATTTTAACAAATTGGTGTGCAAATGAACAATTAAATCTCCATCTTCCACATGACTTTTAGCATATCTTAGATGCTACCGCTTGCTTCTGGTGGTTTTAGAGATATGATGTGCATGTTAATTTGTAAATATGATTCACCATTGACCTCTGAACTGGAAATAGATCTTCGTAAATATGCAAAAATTATCAGGTTTCATTACATTCATACACGTCCACTTGCCAGATGCGTTTCATTCATTAGAGTGTAGGGTTTTATGAATCATGTGTTTGTCTATGGTGCCAATCTGTAATACAGTTGATACATTTTGTTTGAACCTCTTCTAGCTGAGAAAGTCAGCCATGAGGTGTTTGTTGTGGCTATGCAAGTTTATGTATCAAACACAGCAGAAATCGTTTGGCCGCCAAATGATTGGATCCACATTTAGAATGCCGTAGCATTATTGTTATTATTATTTTGGGGATTCTTGAAGAACTCTTGCACAGAACTTCGGTCCAAAAAACTCATGAATTTACTATCCCTGTTCTTAGTTTATCTTCTTTATGAAGACACGGCAAATAATTTGGAGGAAAGAGAGCATCAACACTTCTTCTTGAAGGAACTCTTAATTTTAAGGGCACATGCTACATTGTTATCCCACACTCCACGCACCCGCAGCGCTCATAGAGACCAACATAGTAAGATTCATAACCTCAAGCATTAAAAAGGTACGGTGAGAAAAGGATGGATAACTAAGAAAACTAGCTACTTATATGCTTCCTTGACGCCGAAATTAATTACAGAACAAGGACGATTGCTTTGTTAGACGCATACGCACAAAGGATGGAGTTCCTAAACTTCATTAATCTTCATTATCATAGTCCTCATCCTCATCAATGTGCATGTTTAAATTTACAAGACTTGTTGGGTATAGATTTGATGGGTCAATACCCATGTTTGTTGCACCCTCAGGTAAAGGCCATGAAGGAGGCTCTTCCTTTTTAGTTTCTTCCACAATTGGACGGGGATTTGAACTCTGAGCAACACTCTCTTTCTCTGTGCCTCCTACATCTCCTGAAGAATTAGGTACCCCGTGCTCAGGTGATATACTATTGTCATCATCAAACTTCATATACGTGGCAGTATTCTCTTTCTCCATCTCCATGGTTCTTATGCTAGGGGGCCGCCCTCTGCCTCGCCCTCTGCCTCTCCCTCGTCCTCTAGAACTAATATTTGCACCCCTCATTGGCTGCCAGTAACCAATTTCTTATGTTTGATTCAACAAATGAAAGTAAATATGGTGATCTGATTCAACAGAAGAAATACCATTTTAGAGGACCTTAGCTCTTCGTTTGCCTCTGCATCTCCATCTTCTAATAATGTTTTTCTGAGCGTAGGCTACAACTAGTCAGTAGCTGTGTGTTTCTTACAATGTGAGGTAAAATAAAATAAGAAGAGTAAAGCTCCTATAAACTTAAGTTGATAGCAGCCCTTTGTCCACCAACTTTTTTATTTATCAATTTTGTATTGAGATTTGTGCTAGCAGGTGATACAAATTAAGGCACAAATCTCAAAGATGGCCTTGATGTGTAGCACAAATCTCAAAGCATAATAAAGGATAAAAAGTTGATGGACAAGTTCTCATATCCACTTAAGTTTATAGGAGCTTTACTCAAATAAGAATACTCAAATAAGAATATTACAGTGGGTTACCTTCTGCGGGAGATTCCTTTCTCATCACCACAAGGTTCTGCACCACCAAGGTTTGGTACCTTGTTGACAACATCACTTAGGAAATCAAAAGAACTATACATTTTCACACATTGTTTTCTGGAAAATTCAACAAAAAATATTATTACGAAGAGCTTTTCATGGATCAGTAAGGTTAGATGCATGGTTATTCAAGCAACACCGAAGTATGGCACTTGACATCTATTTAGTTTGCATCTTTGAAACATGGACCAATGCGATATACAGCAAAAAACAAAGTAGTACAATGGCAGGAGATGGAAGATGATCATACAGACAGATTCAATAAATATTGAAGTTGTAATTCCCTCTGAATATGACCATATTTGTATTTCCCAACATGGAAGGAATGATAAATAAAGCACTTGTCGTAATAACTATGTGGATCCTTCCAAACCACATCGATGCAATAAAAAAATGTCTTGCTTAAGCAACCATAATCAGTGCATAATTAAGATGTGGTGTTCATTTTGAGGGTTAAAAATTTCTTGGCAATTGCTTCCTTCGATATCTAAAGCCTGCACCAGCCTGATATAGGTTGCAGTCAGCTTATATTACGCTTGTCCTTAACATCCGACTTTCATCTGATAGGAGTAAGTTCAATCCCCTGGATACCATGAGCATATCCAATAAAGCAAGTGTCTAAAATATTTCATACTCAATCTTGTACTAGATGCGCTTCATAACACTTTGATCGCTAGGTTACATCATAATCATTCCATGCAAAGTCAAAACATCATGACTGGATGATTACTATCAATTAATAATTGACCCAAGAAGTAACCACAAATTGCATTAATATCTAAATGCTATTTTTGCATGTTCAATCACGAAATTGAGATTGTGAAAAAGGAATATTACTGTGCAGGTTTTCTAATTTCATACCAAAGTTAAAACATATTTACTAGAGAGAAATCAAATTATGCCTACTGAAACCTCAATGAATGTATACTTGAGAAAACAAAAGTTTACATTTTGACAGGTATCATACTAGCAAAAGCTTGTCAATGCAGTAAAAGGGAAAAAAAAAAACCACGCGTGTGCGGTCCAAATTCAACTTACAGGTGCATGCAGTTTACTGTCTTGGCCCCCCTCTGGAGAGTAACTTCGTAAGTCCTATCACAAAGATCTTGCAGAAATAATTCCAAAGCTTTTGCTGCATGCCAAAAACCAAGAAGAACGTCAGCCATTTAGACTTCTAACTTTCTCATAAAACTTACTGCACTCATCAATTTAGATTACATACATTGGAAGTAATTTTCACACTAAAGCCTCAATGGATATCAACTTCCATTAGCAGCTCATAATTACAATTTATTATCTATACTCGTTGGTGCTGAAACGAAAATGCAAACTACCAGGACTAAACCATAGTTAGGATAAGACTTCAAAAGTGAATGGATCTTAAACCTCCTTGCAAGACTATAACAACTGCGGTTCTAAAACATCCACAACTGTCTCCCCTTTTTGCTTTACTTCCTTCTCCAAGTTTATAGTAGATAAGATGATTTTAGACGTAACACGCAAATATTCCATTACCTTCTTCAACACTTTCTGAGAGTGAAGCCTTTCACTAAAAATTTGGAATCCTGCTGTCTGATCATTTGATTATATGTGCAAATGTAGATCTACTTATATTACAAATATATAACTTATTTTGCTAGCTCGTAAAAATTTCATTCAACTTTTCATTAATTTTTTGGGTGGTTTGTCCCATTTAAAATTTTCTAAAGCTGAATAAGAATAGATGGTTTTGCTTGAAAACATAGAACAGGATCACGTCTGTTATTGCTCCTCTTTTTAAATACTGGTGATGACCAGAGAAGAATAGCTCCTCATACGAGAAAATCTAAAACACTTGGAAAGTGCTTTAAGTGGTGAAATAATAATTCTAAAGATAATATAGGAAAAGATGTTTCTTGTAAGTCATACAGAAGTGAGACAATTAGATGTCAGAACTTTAAATCATTCTCTTGGAGAATGAAAGCATAGACAATCGGCTTTATATCGTATAACCCCCCCCCCCCCCCCACACACACACACACGAAACCTAAGAGGGAAAATCGTTATGGGGGGTGGGGGGGATGCAACTTTAAGACCAATTACAGACAATCAATGTAACCAGCCTCAAGTACAGTTATTTAGTCTTCAAGTATAATATAAGAAACATGCAACAGTTCTGGGTAAGGAAAGATTAGCATGTTATTAATCCAAGAGATAGGATGTGGTCAAAACTTACAAACTAAAAGAGGCACCGCCAGTGCAATCTTGCCAACATCTTCATCAGCTTGCATTATCTTCTTTATTCGTGACTGAATGAATACCAAACAAACAAAATCCGTCACATACACCTTAAGCCAAAGTAACAAGTGTAGTAAATGCATGCACATGTATTAAAAACATTTCCCTCGTGCTCATTTATATGCAACATTTTTTTCATGTGATCTTCTGTTATATCAACCTGTCCATCTAAGTCTTAGAAAAGGCATTTTAATGCATACAAATTATACAATACCTTCATACTAGCCACTAATGAACAAGCGGATACATCAAACTCACAAACACTTTCAGAAATAAAAAGCAACATTGACCCATTTTTGTTACATAACTACAACTGCCAGCGATTACTTTTTCAGCAGAATATGTGCGTAACTTTTATAATAACTGATGAACTTAACAAAAAATGGGTCCTTTCAAAAGGCTCAGGTATCCGCACCGCATAAATTTTTAAATCTTTAAAAAATCTTTCGAGCAAGGGAACAAAAGTTGCTTTTGAAAGTCTTGGAAAAGAATCAAATATGAAAATCAATCAGATAGCATGCATGATGCATGTGAGTATAGAGCTATTAGACTATGATGGATGTGTAGAGAAATAGAACAGCTCAAAAGTATACAACAGCATCACAAATGATGGAAGACAATAATTAAAAGACAGGAGGTACTGAATCATTACTTCACATAGAATCATTAGAGTTACTAGCATAATTACGAAGTCTACAGGACCTCCCCTTGCACTGCCATACTATTCGCATGTTCCGAAACACAATATTTTGCTTACTGGTTTGCTCTGGTATGTGAGCTGGTACGCAAAAATTAGTGTAACGCTTATAACTTACAGAAACTAAGAAATTGAAGTAGAGAAGAAACCGATGATTTTGTCTCAGTCTATCAGTAGCTCTTCAGCTAAGAAAAATTAGTGTACCATTCCTATGTACATAGTCTGTTTCTAGTTTCTAGTTTTTAACTATACACTTTGAAAAATGGTTCAAAAAAAATACAACATATGACATACCAAACTTGTGGATTAAAGAAACCTTCCTCCTGTTGATTCATACATAGCTAAGTGGCGAATTGCCTACACAAATTCGTACCACAACCCAACACATACCGCATAACTACAGTTACTAGATCGCAAGTAAAAACATCAATAATTAGATGATCAAGTATGAGATGTACAATGAAGGATGGTTATGTAGCTAAGAATTTATGCAATAAAAGGAGCTTAATTAGACACCATACACCAGAAAGGACAACGTTTAGAAGGTAAAATCTTCCAAACTAATGTTCTAAAAAAAAGTCTAATTCATTCATGAACTTGGAGCAAGGAGCACAAGAAAAATTTAAGCTTTGAGAGCGTGTATTCGAACTTAATGCAAACTTTTAGTTATAAGTATCTGCTTAACCAATAAATTAGCTCAGTTTTTACAGTCTGCTTCACTCCAAATTTACTTGGATTCTCCATTAGGTGAAGCATTAATGTTGGACCTTAGCCAGGGGCGGATCTACCTTGGTGGAAGTGGTGTCATGTGACACCACTTCCACCAAGGGAATACCGGATGCATGTTTTACGCGGAGATATTGGTTTTGACGTTGATAGCTTTTGTTACTTTGCGTAGGGCATATATATATAGTATATATATATATATATATATATATATATATATATATATAGTATTATATAGGAGAGAGAGAGGAGGACGAGAGGAAACTTGAGAAGGGGCGGCTGGCCAGCGGGGCTCGCCGAGCAGGCCGCTCCCCCGCCGACGGGCTGGCAAGGGCGCTAATGTGAAGAAATCTCCCGCGATGTTTGAAAAAAAGAAAGGCTGACGGGTGGAGAATCTCCAGTGACGGCGGCCAACCGTCGCCATGCTCTCTCTGGCTGCGGTGACCCCCAACCCCATTTCTACATGCCCGCTCAAAGCTCGCGCCTGTTGACGCGGCAAGCTTCGGCTCGGCTCTCTCACTGCGTGAGCGGCCTAAGCGCCCGGGGCCGCTGGAGCGGGGCCGGCAAGTTGCCGGGCCGAACGGTGCGGCGCGTGCGCCGGGTCCAGGCGGCGGACTCAGCCGCCGCCGCGCCCTCTCTGCGGTCGAGTCATGGCCAACGCGCTAGCGTGCAACGGTAGGCAACTCTTCTCATCCCGTCCTCCGCGAGATTGAATCGGTGCTATAGGTAATAACTCGAACCCTCTCTCTCGATCCCTTTGATTGGATTGGCTTCGAGAAAATGGGTCTTTTTTCCTTTAATTGGTTGTGCTGAAATTAGTGGCTATGGAGATGGGGTTTTCGATTTTGGGTGTAGATCTATTATGGGTTTTTCCTTTTTGGTAGTTTTTATGCCTATTTCTGCTGTTATGTTGGTTTAGTTCATGTAATTCACTGATTTTCTACGAATGATTGTGGGTTTTTCCTCTCTCGATCCCTCTCTCGATTAAAAATGATTGTTTTTAATTATTATTGTTGCTTATCTACGAATGAAGTGGAAGAATTAATCGATGGAAGTTTTGTTCTTGAGAATTGGTTGATGTAAGCTTTGTTTACCTGTAAAATCCCATTATATTTACACTTCATTAACTGCTAAATTATTATTGTTTCTTTTCCTCTTTAGGTGTGATTATATATACATTCCTTTTCTATTAATTGTTTCCAAAGATTTTATTTTTAAAAAGTCATTTATTCATCAAAAGAGAACCTAGAACTTACAGCTCGAGGCCACACTTTTTGCAAAATTTATTAGAACTTTGAAGCACAATGCCATTTATTCTTCAAATAATGTGCAATAAGCAACCTGGCAATTCTAACTTGAACTTGAGCAGGTAATATGCCTTAGACCTGAATATCATTTTCACACATAACTCGAATAAAAACTTGGCAATTTTAGTTTGAGCTTGAGCTGGAAATTAAGATGACATATGCCTAAGTACCAATTTCATGGGATACATTTTTAATCCAAAACACAATGAATCAATGATTATATAGTAGTGCTTGCTTTTTGTTTCCTTCATCAAGGCACATGTTTGGTCGAGGATTGATTTCAATTGTGATTTGATGAAGGTGTTTTTTTATGAATAATTTCACTGTGTTGGTATCGAGTGAGATTGTGTGTAAGACCTGAGAAAACTTAATGTGTTTACATAGTTGTTAGGCAGCGTCTAATTAGTGATATAACCTTTCTTTTGCTTGAGATATGATTTCTTTTGCTTGAGATATTTTGGCAAGTAATGTTAAGCAGCGTCTAATTAGTGATTATGTCCATGTGCATTGTGTATGTGCCATATTTCGACAACAGAAATTTGACAATGCATAATCCATAAGTTTATCTATTAACATCATCCAATATCAAGCTGATATTGTCTTCTGGTTGTAATTGTTTAGGAAATTGGCTTGCCAAGTGTGTTATTTGTTGTAATAGGTGGCAAATGCATTTACTTTATTCTAAAGCATAAATTTTCAGGTTATCCATAGCAAGAAAGAGTTTTTATGTTATGAAGAGAGGTCGACGATGTGACAGTTTTTATAATTAGAAGGAATGCAAATCTCAAGTTGATAAATTCCCAAATGCCGCCTACAAAGGGTATGCAACGTACGAAGAGGCTTTGATTGAATGTGATAAGCACACCATCGTTCGTGATTCAGCATCCAGGTCAAGGCCTATCCAAACACTTGTTTATGTTCAAGAACAAATATTTCCAGAGGGGCATAATCTGGATGAGGATAAGAAAAAACTTGGGGAAGCTGCTATTTCCCCCATCTATGCTTTTGTATTAGGTTCAGTGTTTACAATATTAGTGTTTGTAGTATGTCTCATTGCAGTATTTGTTAGCTTCTCTATTGCAAAAAGTATGTAATGTGCTTTGTAAGTTATGTGTTGGATGTTCTCAACTAGGTTTGTAAGTGATTACAATACTGTTTGATGTAATTTGCTCTGTTTTTGTATGGGTATTTCTTGCAATGATGTAGACATGTATGTATATTTGATGGTTTTGTTGTGTAAAAATCACATCTATTGCTGGATGAATATGTTGTACTTAATATTGTTTAGTCTACTAATTTTTTTGTTTCAGTTTTCATCCATTGTTGAATGAATATGTTGTACTTAATACTCTGGAGAAGCTCTCGGTGAGGGTGGCAGAATCACATCTACTGCCTGACACTTGTTTAGTCGACAATGCTGGCTATCATGTATTTTGGAGGCCTGAAAAGTCTCAGCATACCAACTGCCATGAACTTGAGAGACGTGAAAAAGCCTCAGCATGTATTTATTTTCATGCTTGATCGTGCATCCACAGGTAAACACAGCTTCCATCGACCAATTTTCAAGAACAAAACTTCCATCGACTAATTCATCCACTTCATTCGTAGATAAGCAACAATAATAATTAAAAGCAATCATTTTTAATCTAGAGAGGGATCGAGAGAGGAAAAACCCACAATCATTCGAAGAAAATCAGTGAATTACATGAACTAAACCAACATAACAGAAATAGGCATAAAAACTACCAAACAGGAAAAACCCATAATAGATTTACACCCAGAATCTAAAACCTCATCTCCATAGCCACCAATTTCAGCACAACCAATTAAAGAAAAAAAACTCATTTCCTTGAAGCCAATCCAATCAAAGGGATTAAGAGAGATCGAGAGAGGGGGTTTGAGTTATTACCTGCAGCGCCGATTCAATCTCGCGGAGGAGGGAGAGAGAGTTGATCGACGGCGGGGTTAGGGCCACGACCGAGAGAGAGAGGGGGGAGTTGGGGTCGAGGCAGAGTTGGCGGGGGTTGAGGTCACGAGCGAGAGAGAGAGGGAGTTGGAGTCAATGCGGAGTTGGTCGGCGACAGGGTTACGGTCACAAGCAAGAGAGGGAGTTGGGGTCAAGGCGGAGTTTTGGGGGATGTGAATAGGGTTAGGGTCACGAGAGAGAGAAGATTGGGGTCACGAGATTTCAGTTAGCCTTTTTTCAAAATCGTGAGAGATTTTTCACATAGACCCTTGTAGCGCAAGGGGGAGAGCTGGCCAGCGCTTCGTACCAAACATAAATTTTGTGCTTGGTAGTAAGGTGTCATATTCTCTTCAACTCATTCAAATGGGGGATCACATTCACATGAGTTGGGGAGTATATGGGTATATGTCACCATTTGAATGAGTGGATGGAAATAAGACACCTCACTACCAAACACAAAATTTGTGCTCGGTACCAAGCATACCCATTTTTCTTATATTATATATATATATACACAAAATTTGTGCTCGGTACCAAGCATACCCATTTTTCTTATATTATATTATATATATATATGAAAAAAATGGGTATGCTTGGAAGTGAGGTGTCACAATTCTCTCTACTCATTCAAATGGGGGATCACATTCATATGGGTTAAGGAGTGCATAGAGATATGCAACCATTTAGAAGGTAAAAAAGTTTAATTCATTCATGAACTTGGAGCAAGGAGCACAAGAAAATCTATACACCATACACCAGAAAGGACAACATTTAGAAGGTAAAATCTTCCAAACTAATGTTATAAAAAAAGTCTAATTCATTCATGAACTTGGAGCAAGGAGCACAAGAAAAAACTAAGCTTTGAGACCGTGTATACGAACTTAATGCAAACTTTTAGTTATAAGTATCTACTTAACCTATAAATTAGCTCAGTTTTTATAGTCTGCTTCACTCCAATTTTACTTGGATTCTCCATTTGGTGAGGCATTAATGGTGGATCTTAGCCAGGGGTGGATCTACATACATACATACATGCATACATATACATAGATCTACATACATACATGCATGCATATATATATGTATATGTATATATATGTGTACATATATGTATATATATATATAAAAATATGTATATATATATGTATATATATATGTATATATATATATTTTTTTTTTTTGTACTTGGTACCAAGCACAAAAAATTATGCTTGGTAGTGAGGTGGCATAATCTCCTCCACTCATTCAAATAGTTACATATCCTCATGCACTCCTCAATATATATATATATATATCCACATGATGCCTATGTAACCATACACCATCATGATCATCTTCTATCACCAATGGGATCATAAAAAATTACACAGGACCCGTTAACCATATATGGGGGATTATAGTTCTGATATGATATAGCGAAGGCCTTCATAGGCTAATAGTTGACCTACATACTAAGCAATTATCACTGTTTTAAAAAATCTCCGTCTAGTCCACTTAGGCGTACGCATAGGTCTAGACAGTACCTAGGTCGTCTAACTAGCGCCTAAACGGTATTTAGGCTCCCCACCTAGATTTTACGAGCGTTTAGGGGTACATTATCTGCTTATGTGGATTGCACCCTGTAGGCCTTGATTGTGATTTTATGTGTTGTAACATACACGTCCTCCAAACTTCATTAACCTCCAAATATGAACACATTCATTATCTCCTTCGACCTTCAGCAAAACATCATCGACCACCACTTAAATGAAGAAAGAAATCCACCTAGACACCAGTCCGGCATCTAAGCTTTATATATAACATTAACATTCACTATCAATTATTGTAATTAAAAATAAAAAAAGAAAACATCTTAGGCTCTAGCCTTGTTAATTATTATTTTGGCTATTTAGTATCTAAGTATGCATGGTTTATTGTGAAACTAAGATTGCTATCTTTCTAAGTATGCATGGTTTATTGTGAAACTAAGATTGCTATCTTTTTTTGAAAATTTATATGAATTTAATATATATTTTTATTAATTATTATAATTAAATAATTTAAAAATAGTCAAACGTCTAGGTGTTGCCTAGGCGTACGGCCAAGGGTCTAGGCACTAGGCGCTCGCTCAAACGCCTAATCTGTCTAGTGCCTTCTGTAATATTACCGAGCTCTCTCGATCTCTGTAACTACTAACAAGGTAAATAGTACTTCTTAAATATCTATTTAAGTTAGTTAACAACAGTAACTTAAACTTAAAAAGTGTAAGTTAACAGTAACTTAAGTTTAAGTTAAACTTAAGTTTAAGTTTAAGTTAAACTTAAGTTTAAGTTTAAGTTAATATTAAGTTTTTTGTTGATAGTAAACTTAAGTTTAAGTAAACAGTAAACTTAAGTTAATAATATTTTAGTTAACAGTAAACTTAAGTTTAAGTTTATTGTTAACTTAAACCTAACAGTAACTTATAAGTTATAAGTAATTTGAGTTGTGAATGAATTTTTCACTGTTGAGATGAACTTATAATTTGAGCTGAGAAGTATAAACATACAAAGAACTATTGTAATTGGTAAACCAAACAATTGGTTAATAGTGTTAGTATTTTAGTATTTATGCATCTTTGATTGAGTATATATATATATATCTTCAAGTATCACAATTAAAAAAATTAAAAAAAAAACGCCCAGAAACCGCTAAGACGCCCGCCTTGGCGACTAAGCGTTGGGTGCCAAGTCCGACGCCTAGAAGCGCCCAGCGTTTAATGTAACATTGGCGATTATATTGTTACTAACAATGTATCCGATACTGTTACTAAAATTTTGATTATCTTTTTTTTTTTTGAAATATGAAGAACTCGTCAGGTGCAGTCGTAAGTTTCTTTAATTACTAATTATATGGTGACACGACCTTCCAGAAATCCTGGACATGCCATTGACCTTGGCGACAGCTACATCTATGTTGGTATATCTTCTTAGAAAGGATCTCAATGTTCTATGAACAGAGAAGCTCAAAGGAGAAGAGCATAGAGCAGACAAATAGAGCTTCGCTTCAAGTCCAAATAGGTATGTTCTTTATATCTCTGGAAACATGCTCAACTTTACCAGATGAAAAAGCACACCTTTTAACTTATTCATCAAGGTTATCAAAAGTACCACATCTAATCTGTTATTTGTCGTCATCGTTTTGCAAAGATACATTTTATTCAAACAGTACAATAAAGAGATGCACGGATTAACAAATTTCAACAAATTATTATTCAAATAACATAAAAGGATAATACACACAGCCCAGATAGTCATAACTATTACTCGAACCGGAACTAGTGTTATTAAATAGTGCGATAAAAATTTTAATAGAATCTTCCTGCTCACTGAATCATGAAATGAAACCTTCAACTCCCTGACAGGAAAATAATTTTAAAATCTTACTAACCATGGTATGCACAGTTGTATATAAATGGAAACATTTTTTCCCCTAAATATAACTAATTGCTAAGAAAAACAAACTCCTGATCCAAACATAGGAACTGAGAAATTCAAAAAAATCGCCAACTTTTTATGAACAAGCCCCTGATTCGTCCAAATAAATGGATAACAGAGCCAAATCAGCTCAAAACAACCCTAAATCGCATAAAATGATCAAGTTTTAAGGAGTTCATTTCCTCAAAACAACAGATCCAGCATAGATCCAAACGTTTTACTCAAAAAAGCACCCAAAAACACCCAAAAACCGCCAAAATTCATCAAATTTAACAAGGAAAACAGATCGAGCAACAAAATTCAAAGGACAAACCGAATCGATGGATTCCATACCGCTGGAAATCGCGTTCCGAGCTTCTTCCTCATCTCCGATCTCCTCTTTTCTCCCTTATTTCTCTCCCTTCAATCTCTATTCAGATGATCTCAAGATCTACAAAACGCTAACCTCGGACCTCTCTCGATCGCAACCAAGGGCGCTGTTTTCAACTTTTTCTCCTCCCCCAATTATTTCTTCTTTGTTTCTATCTTTTTCTTTTTCGCTTTTTTTCCTTTTTTCTTTTTCTTTTTCCAAGATTTGCGAGGAGAAGGGCACGTGGCACGTGTCATATATCGGTTGACTCAGTGGAGCTTATAGTACTGTACGAACGGTATACTAATCATAAAGATTTGAGATGAATAAGGATATGTTTGGATTTCAATGAGGTTAAGGAAAGTTATTAAGGGGGTGTTTGTTTCACTTTTTTTTGATATAGGCTGGATTACAAGTTTTGGGATGTAAAAAGTGCTTTTTTTGAGTTTTGGTATTCCTTAAACTTTGTTTGTTTCACTTTTTTTTTTGGATATTGAATCCCTAAATTATAAAAAAATAATATATTTTTAGGATTTGTGAAATCATCTCTTTTGTTTCCACTTCTTTTTGGGATATAAGGTGGATTACAAGTTTTTTGGGTTTTAGAATTCCATAAACCATGTTTGTTTCAAAACCAATTTTGGGATAGTGAATCCCCAAATAATAAAAAACTATTATATTTTAGAATTTGTGAAATCCTACAATTGAGAGAGGATGTAGGTTGGATATTGATGTATTAATGTTTATAATATAAGATTAATATAAGATTAATATATTAAATATAATATTATAATAATATAATATTTAATATAATACATCTATTCCTCTATAATTATAGGAGGACCCAAGAATCACTGTTCATGCTTTAGTAAATGCTGCAGTAAATTACTGTAGCATTATATATATAATATATTATATTATATAATAAATAATATATATATATATATTATATATAATATATATATAATATAATATATTATACATTATATATATATATTTATATTATATATAAGAAAGATATATATATATAAATCTAAAGTATAATATATATACAATATAAGGTATATCTATATAATATAAAATATGTTAATATATATATATATATGTATATATATATATATGAATATATATAATAACTAATATCTATTATATTAATAGATTATATATATACTATATATTATATTATATATATATATATTTAGTATATCTATACTATATATATATATATATAATATATATATATATTATATATATATATATATATTATATATATATAGTATATAATATATATAGGATTATAATATTAATATATAAAATATACATATTATAGCGCACCCAATTAATATTGTTCATGACCTGTAGTAAATTATACTGGTAGCTATTGTATATATATTTATATATATTATATATAATATTATATATATAATATATATAATATATATAATTATTATAATATTATATATATATATATATATATTATATATATAATATATAATATATATTATATATAATATGTTATATATATTATATTATATATTATATAAATTATATCTATAATATATAATATATATAATATTATATATATAATATATAATATATATAGGAGGACCCAATAATCACTGTTCATGCTGTAGTATTCCAAATCCCAAAATATTATATAATATTATAATAATATATGTTATTAAAATATTATATAATATTATAATATATAATTTATAGTATTCTAAATTCTAAAATATTGATGAAACAAACAAAATATTACAAATTTTGGTATTCCAAAATTATAGTACTCCAAATCCTAAAATATTGATGAAACAAACAAAATATTACAAATTTTGGTATTCCAAATCCCAAAATATTGATGAAACAAACAAAATTTTAGAGATCCCAAAACATGTAAAAAATTTTATGGATTTTAATTTCTATGGTGAAATCCATATCCATAAATTTAGGAGGTAACAAATTTTTATACTATTAGGGGGTGAACCAAAGGGAACTAGGGTGAATAACTTCACCTCTTAAATCTATATCTATACTACTTATAAAAGAGAATACTCATGTCAAAACTTTTAATTTCCTATTTTACCCTTTTAAATTTTGATAATTCGCAATTATACCATTGGTTATAATTAATCATTAAATAATTATTCACAACTCTTTATTAAATGCACCTCCTACTCTCCCTAAGAATATTTGGTCAAGAATAAAATCATTATCAATAGTTTATAATCTAATACTACATACAAATGGTTATGTCTATATGTAGAATTTTAGAATATCAATGTTCACTTTTTGGTCTACCTTAGTTGCATGTCGGGGGGTTGCAACTTTTCTCTCTAAGAAGTTGAAATAACTGTATTGGAGGGACATCAAAGTTTAAACCATGAGAGGACCAGAGTTTTATAGAAACTACATAATATAAAATTAGAGAATGATGCACTTCATTCTTTATTGCTTTGGGTCTTTTGAGCGCCGACTGGTAATTAGTCAAAAATTTTAACTCAAGACTATGAATTTCTTCCCAATCAGTCACAAAATAGTATAAGACAAAGTTAATCAAATAATTATAACAACAAGATATAGAGTCTAGATTTTTAAAATTCAATTTGAATCAATGCATAAACTATGAACCAATTAACTACAAACAACCGAATCAATGCATAAACTATGAACCAATTAACTACAAACAACCCTTTTTATTTTTATATAACTTCTCTTTCATCTCTTGAGTGTAAATTAGCTCATACATTTTCTTCCACTCACCATAATACCTACTAAGTCAAACCATACAATTACAAAAGAAAAGGTCAACTAAAATTCCACTTGGATTAGAATAGAAAATTTAACAAAGCACATGATGTCGACTTCTTTCGAGGATCAAATTTGCTCAAGCATGTGTTAGCATGATATGTTCCTCTATAATTCAATTAGAATTTTAAAAATATGTTTTGAAACTTGATTATTGTAGAAATGAGACAATTTGGTACAATTTAAATTGGTACAATCAATTTGGTGATTATTTTTCTTTTTGGAGACATCGGGATCACTCAAATTTCAAAATGTATTATAAAAAGACTAAAATGAACAAATGTATCTTAAAATCTCATTAGATTAAATATTTTTAAAATTCAACCCCCTAAACGTATTTCACGGTATAATTTGAAAACACATTGTATCAAAGAAAATCTATGATGTTAATATCATGAAATAGGGGCACGATTAGGAATGCATTAGGCAAATTATATTATCATTTTGATGTTACAATGAAAAGTACAAAATAAACTTTTAAAAGTACAAAATAAACTTTCTTACCATGATTTCAGAAAAAATATTAAATAAATACTACAACCAGCATATTTACATGCATCCAAAATAAATGTTATATTTTTATTATAAATAAGCCCTAATTACTAAAGTGATATCTTATAAAGCTTTGGCTTTTTTACCTTCTAATTAATTACTCATTTTGTATGTTATAATTTTTTTATTTATTTCTCTCTTCCTTTCCTTCCAACCATTTGACTTCTATTTCTAAGAAACGAAGTGCTTGGGATGACACTAAAGATGGAATAGATTTCTATGGAAATGCTATCGTAATGATTTAGTGCTAACTTGTGAACTAGAAATTGATAAAATACATATGAATGACATAATTAGTCTCTCTTGCAATTATCACGAAACTTTAACAAGTGACAAGTCCTTTCGCATGATATATCTCTATCATTCTAACATGTCAATTTTAGTTTTAAGTTTAAGAAATTTATTTGGGAAAGCTCTTATTAATTAGCATTTCCTTAAATAGCTTGAACCTTAGCGTAAATTGAGCAAAGATGTGTCTCCCATCTCTAATATTAGATCATCTTTTAATATTGCTATTGTGTTTACAGAATAAGTTTGTTCATACATAGGGTTATAATTTTTTCACTCTATTAATCCACGTCGGGTATCTGCTATTTAGTAAATTTGACCATCTATGTCTGTATATTTTGTTTCAGCTTTAAATGCTGATAATTAATATAGACTTTGATAATGTAATTAAATTTGAAACATGATATGAATTGGTTCTTTTTTTTGTCTCATTACCCTATATAAGTTAAGGTCTTCTAGCTATTAGCTAATCTAATTATCTAAGAATCCTAGCACATAAATCTCTTATTATGTTCTTTATGTGGGTTTCATGAATATTGGTAAAATCTAAACCAGCTTAATTACATGAATATATCTAAATCATCGATTCACTTTATTATTTTACGGTCCACATTTAAAAAATTTAATACTGAATAAGTATACCCACGTGCAACGCACGTGCACTTTACTAGTGTTCACAAATAAGGTGAATGGTTCCCCTAACTTCCATTCACCCTTATTCCTCTCAATCCAAACAAATCCTAAGGGCATGTTTGGATTTGTAGGGGGTAGGGGGTGAAGGGAAGTTAAAGGAAACTGAGAGAATGGAAGGGAAGGGAAGGGAGTTCCCTTCCCCTTGGTTACACCCCATTTTGGGGGGTAATAAATTTTATACTATTAGGGGGTGAACCAAGGAGAACTAGGGTGAATTAACTTCACCTCCTAAGTGTACCCAAACAAGGTGAATTGAGGTGAATGGTTCCCCTCCCTTCCCCTCAACCCCCATTACCCTCAATCCAAACAAGCCCTTAGGAGGTTAAGTTAATTCACCCTAGTTCTCCTTGATTCACCCCCTAATAGTATAAAAATTATTACCCCCCAAATTGGGGTGTAACCAAGGGGAAGGGAACTCTCTTCCCTTCTCTTCCCTTCCCTTCACTCAGTTTCCCTTAACTTCCCTTCACTCCCTACAAATCCAAACAGGCCCTTAAGAGTGTTGCTATGAGGACCCAAAATATGGGATCAAAGGAGGGAACATGTGAGGTGTCCTCTCCCTATTGCATAATAAGTTGGTAGCCAACTCATTATGTAATAGGGAGGGGACACCTCACATGTCCCCTCCCTTGGTCCCATATTTTGGATCATTAAGTCATTTTCCGATGAATAAGCTATATTACAGGAGAGAAGCTTTTTTTAAGGTTAATTCCACAAATAACTATAGTAATATGCTCATCTTTGAATGAAAACTCCCAATCTTTATCACATGTCGTCTACAGTAATATGCTCATTTTCATACAGTAATATGCTCATTTTCCTATAGAAAAATTTAGTTATTTACAAATTACA